CCCCCTTCAGAGATGTTAATGTCCTTATTAACTATTAACTAGCAACTCTTACTAAGCCTACACAAGAGGAAGGACGTACGCATTGCCCAATACATACAATACAAGCTCACAAGAGGAAGGACGTACACATTGCCCAATACATACAATAACTAGCAACCCCTACTGAGCCTACACAAGAGGAAGGATGTATGCAATACCTTGCTCAAGGGCAATATGTACAATACCTTGTTCAAAATATATTATATTTTTAAGGTACTAATCAATGAGAATCGAACTCGTGCCATTTGCTCCGATACCAACTGTAACACACCTTATCTCTCTCCCCTTAAGCCAATTAGAAAAAAAGTAATTGTTTGATGAGAGAGCCCTTTAATGGCTATTTTATCCCCATTTATCCCCAAGAGATTTTTTAAGATTATGGGGATTCTGTTGTGGCTGAGGGAGAACCATAGGAAGACTTGCATGGGCCGGAGGATGCACAGGAGGTCCAAGAGAACCTAACTGACTTCCTATGTTTGTGCCATCGTAGAACTGTGTGATTGCTATGTTCAAGTTTAATATTTGAAATTTGAAATTGAAATTTAGGGTTAGCATTTTGAATTTGATTTGAATTTGAAATTTTAAAATATTTTAAAACATGTTCAAATGCTATTTTGAAGACATTTTAAAGTAAGTCAGGTGCGAAGTCACTAGTGTTTTACATTAAATTTTTACCACACAAACCTATGCAGGCGGGAATGAAAATGTTTTAAAATGCATACTTAAAGCTTAAAACAACCTAAAAACTACTGAAATGCAAATGCAACAGTCACAAAAATTAAAATACACATTTTAAAATATTTTTATATAAAGCACTAGTTTAAAATATCACTTAAGGTTGCTAACACTACTCTATTTGGTACAGTGAAGCTTGATTATGTTGGTGGTATGCCCATCCTTAGTGTGTTCCCATTTCTAGCTTTAATAGGATGTGATTACATAGCTTATTTTGTTCTTGGTGTTTTACCATTTTGGTGTTCTACTATTTCCCTTTGTTGTGGAGTGTGATCTAGATATTGACTTGATATTGATTGATGAGCTATATATATATATATATATATATATATATATATATAATAGTCTAATTTTTAGAGAATGTTCAAGGATCAAATTTATGGGAAGATAATGTATATAAGTTCCAGTGGATTCTAGATTGTGCTAATAAGCTTAATTATTATAAAAACTTGTCTTTATTTAGAGATGAATTAAAGATTTTACGAGTGATCATAGGATGAGATTTAGATATATTATTATCATGGATTTTTGAAACCTTGGGGGATAAATAAGGATAAAATAATTATTAATGATTTTTTTTATTAAGCAATTACCCCTTTTCCAGTTAGTTAAAAGGGAAATAGATAAAGTGTGCTACAATGGGATAAGTGTTAATCTTTCAATTTGCTATCTAGTACTTCTTTTTTACATTTTGCTCTTTTCTAACTTTTTTTTATTTCTTGGCATAAATCACCTTTTTATATTCCTAATATTTCCTCATATACAATATTTTCTTTTTCTAGTATATTGATTATTTGTGACTTTTATGAGAGTTCAATGTTAAATATAATGCTTTATGTCCTCCACATACTAATTTGGATGTTGAGTGCATGTGTGAAGCTTAGAATCATACTTTTATTTTTATTTCATTGATGGAGTTTTTGATGTAATGAAATGTTAAATGATAGAATATGCTAGAATATCTAAGCATATTCTAGATACACTACATTCTCTTCTATGACACATAAATCCTGGCAGTGCGATCATCTAGGCTTCCCAGCTTGTCCAAGTAGAACACCAGAAGATTGTGGAGCGTGTCCACCTATGATGCGCACGCTCAAAGCAGTGAACGTAATTCTCTCGATCCACAAACGGTGGATCCACAACATCATTCGCATCCCCATTTCTTTCTTCGAGCAAAACATTTGGATGTGGAGGCCCGATGCTCCTTACTGCTGCCACCAAAAGAATCCTCCCAATCCTCCCATTCCATCCCTGAGAGATGGATTGAGAAGAATCACGCACGAGTTCCGCCAGCTCGGACGCCACACTGGCGGGCCGCCGGAACATCCGCTAGTACGCATCCTCGCCTCGAATCCTCCCAGTGATCTCGAGCTTGGACGTCGCCAGCAGAATCTCGTGCGACGCTGAATCCCGGGATCTTGGTCGATGATGGCCTGCTTGCCGCCGCGCACGCGTGAGATCGAAGCCTTCGTAGCCTTGTTGCTCGATCCTAAGAGGAAGCCCTGGATGGATCCATAGGTCTCGCCCCCTGTGGAGCTCCAGCTTTGCCTCGTACCTCTCGCGAAATCTAGCGATGGCGGGAAATCGTTCGATTGGCGCGTCTGGAGCGCCTCAATAGAATTAGGTCAGGGGTTCTTTACTAGGGTTTGGGATTTTGGCGATGGCGCCCGGGCAGGAGGTCGATGCCGCCGGCGCTCGGTCCGCTCCTTTCCCAGCGAGCTGGACGAGCGAGCGCTTCGATCCCGCGCGGGTGGAGCAAATCTACAGGATGGAGCTCGCGTCGGCTGAAGGTAGCAAATCCGTGCCACTCCAGAGGGTTGCATTGCTCGAGATTGGCCAGTATTTGGAGAACTATCTGTGGCCGCATTTCGATCACCAGGCCGCCTCATTCGAGCATGTCATGTCGATTGTGTTGATGGTGAATGAGAAGGTGAGTTGTTGTTATTTTCTCCTGGAAATGTGGATGGCTCTGATGAATTTTTTCTCTAGTTTCGAGAAAATGTGCCCGCCTGGAATTGTTTCCATGGGAGAAAACAAGTTTTTTCACTGTTCTTGCACCGGGTTTTCACCCTCCAGGTAAGAAGTCAAGTTTTTGCAGTGACCATGTTTTAACATAGTTTCTCTCCGTGATTCTCAGGGAGAGCGGTCTCTAAATCTGAAAGAGAAGACAAACTACTTGCTTTTTCTTATACACAGTTTCCAGGTTATACTTGCTTTGCTCTTCTTTGCAACGGTTTAATCGGTTTTTTGTAATGTAGAGCTTGGAAGATCCCTTGGTGGCGGACTCGGTTCTACGACTGGTCTCAATGGAGCTTTGGCACAGCTTGTCTCCTGGTCGTGTAAAGGTACGCGTTTAATCAGGCATCTGCGTGACATTTTCTGATTTGATTCTGCACTAGCTGGAGCTCTTTCACGACGAAAAGCTTCTTAAGCCATGGCTGAAGCTGCAGAAGAAAGCTGCAGCCAGCTCTGCAAATATCCAGGAAAAACTGGAAGTACGTTTTCTGCCATCTTTGATGAAAGATTTTCTTCAGGTAAAGTGGATCGATGGTATGATTTTACGTCCTAAACCGGTGCTTTCAAGGTTCTCGATGGTGCTGTTGTGGGAAGTGAGGCTGACGCATCGGCTGTTCTGTTTTGTGAGCGCTTTGTAGAGTTTTTAATTGATCTTCTTAGCCAGATGCCAACACGGAGGTAAACTTTGGGTTTTCGTAGTCATCGGTGCTGTCACTCACCCCTGTATTCTGCAGATTTGGAAAAGCTGTTGTCAATGATCTGGCGGTTGTTGTAAAATGCAAGTTGAGTCCTTTGCACGAACATCCTCAAGGAGCGCTCTTCCGGAAACTCGTGGAGTTACTTCAGTTCTATGCTGATTTTGAGCTTGACGATCAGAAAGGTCTCGAAGTTAACGTCTTGAAGAGGCACTGCAATTTTATTCACTCGTTTCAACTCTTAGCATTTAACCAGGAGCCGAAGGTTTGTACGAGGAGTATTAGTCAATTTGAGACTGGCTTTATGTGCAGCTTAAAGAGATGGCACTGTCGAATGTCGGGGCGTTGAACAATCGCAAGGAATTGACGAAGTGGTTATCGAAGCTGAGCGTTCAAGAATTAAAAGATTTGGTCTGCAACAAGGTATATATAAAGCACTGTACGTGGATTTCGTTTCTGACATTTTCGTGCACAGTTGATGCTAATTCCGGCATCAGATACTTGGGCAGACAGGGTGGATTTCCTAAAAGAAGTTCTAATCTCAGCCTTTGAGAAACGCCAATCTCAGAGGGATTTCATCAATGGTCTTCCACTTTATCCTACCGAGACCGTGATGTGGGATGAAAGTTTGGTGCCAAGCGTCAACTACACCGGCGAGGCAAGCCTGGCGCTTCACAAGCTAAACTTGCAGTTCCTGACGCTCAACGATTACCTTTTGCGGAACTTCCACCTGTTTCGGCTAGAGTCTACTTACGAGATCAGAGAGAACATCCAGGAAGTGTTGGAGAAAGTTGCAGCGTCTGTCGGTGACGAGGGCCGCACAAAGTTTCGGGGCTGGGCTCGGATGGCAACTCCGGTCAAGTCATTCAAGATAACTCAAGTGAAAGAGCCGAATATTGGTGACATCAAGCCGTCATCCGTGACTGCCGAGGTTACGTTCAGCATAGCGAGGTGTGATCCGCAGCTAAGAGCCGAGTGGGATGACTTGAAGGAGCATGACGTTCTGTTTCTACTCACAGTGATGCCGCATTTGAAGCCACCATCGTCCGAGATAGCTCAGCACATGACTGTGCCGGAGAAATACGGGCTCAAGTACGTACGAGGATGTGAAATCGTGGAGATTCGTGATGAAGTAAACCATCTAATGAACGACTTCACTGGGCGGGTCAAGAGGGAAGAATGGAAACCTCCACAAGGGGACCAACGGACAGTTGTTTTAGCTCTGGACTGTGCACAATACCAGATTGATATGGACGCAAAGGCTGAAGGTGAAGAAGACCCGTACAGCTCCTTCAATCTTCTTATGAGAAGGAAGCCGAAAGAGAACAACTTCAAAGCTATTTTGGAGTCCATCCGGGACCTCACCAACGAGGATTGCATAGTTCCGGACTGGCTTCAGGACTTGGTTCTGGGATATTTCAATCCAGTGAAGCTGCAGAAGCACAAGCAGCTTCATACCGTAGACTTCAAGGATACTTTTTTGGATGCACAGCACCTGCGTGAAAGTTTCCCTGGCGAGGTATCACTGATTCTTCTTTCACGTTGCTGTATTAACAAGTTGGATGCAGGTTAAGTTTGTGACTCCGGATGGCGACGTTGACGAATCTCCAGCACCACCATTCCGTGTAACGTTCCCCAAGTTGAACACCAAGACAGCCATCGAGGAGGTATCGCTGCTGACGGTTTTTGTTTTGTCGTAGATCCTCACGGATTTACGTGCTTTCAGATTGCAGATGGAAACGATACCAAAGTTAAGCGAAGCAGAAAAAGGAAAGCCTCGTCTGGAAATGGCACCACAGACAGTGAAACTGCAGTTCAGGAGGCTATCATTGTGGAGAGCTACGTGCCTCCGGATCCAGGTCCATATCCACAAGACCAGCCAAAGCAGAATTCCGTTAGATTCACACCAGTCCAGGTTTGCATTCTTCCGGTATTTAGTGTGTGCCCATTAATACTTTTTCTTATTGTCAGATTGAAGCTATCAAGTCGGGTGTGCAACCGGGGTTGACGATGGTCGTAGGACCACCCGGTACAGGAAAAACTGATACGGCCGTGCAAATCTTGAACGTGCTATATCATAATTGTCCATCGCAGAGGACACTCCTCATAACGCATTCTAATCAAGCTCTGAACGATCTCTTTGAAAAGATCATGCAGGTAACGAAGTCTTTCCTGTAATTGTCTTCGGATTTCTAACTCTGCGCTTACAGCGAGATGTTCCGGCTCGGTACTTGCTACGTCTGGGTCAGGGTGAGCAGGAACTCGAAACCGAGCTTGACTTTAGTCGTCAGGGGCGAGTAAATGCCATGTTGACACGGCGTTTGGAACTTCTAGCAGAAGTAGAGCGCCTAGCGAGAACTTTGAGCGTGCCAGATGATGTGGCCTACACTTGCGAGACTGCCGCTCACTTTTGGCTCCTCCATGTCCTGGCACGGTGGGAGGAATTTGTTGCCGCTTGCGAGGCTACAGAGGACAATCCAGGCATCGTCATGGAGAAGTTTCCTTTCATGGACTTCTTTTCAGACACTCCCCACCTGCTTTTCTCCGGGCTATCATACGCAGAAGACATGCGTGCTGCAACTGGCTGCTTCAAGCACTTGAAGACGATGTTCCAAGAGCTCGAGGAGTGTCGAGCCTTTGAGCTGCTCAAGACAACAGCCGACAGAGCAAACTATCTCATGACGAAGCAGGCAAAGATCGTGGCCATGACTTGTACTCATGCGGCACTCAAGAGGCGTGACTTCCTGCGGATTGGTTTCAAGTATGACAACCTCTTGATGGAAGAAAGTGCTCAGATTCTGGAGATCGAGACGTTTATCCCGATGCTGCTGCAAAGACAAGAGGACGGACGAGCCAGGTTGAAGAGGTGTATCTTGATCGGTGATCATCACCAGCTGCCTCCAGTCGTGAAGAACATGGCGTACCAAAAGTTTAGCCACCTCGATCAGAGCTTATTCGCAAGGTTCGTACGCCTGGGAGTGCCTCATGTGGAGCTCAACGCACAGGGAAGGGCCAGGCCAAGCATCGCTAAGCTCTACAACTGGAGATACAAAGACTTGGGTGACTTGCCAGACGTACAGGAGGAGCAGTCCTTTCTTCTTGGGAATGCTGGCTTCGCGTATGACTACCAGCTTATCGACGTGCCTGACTACCTCGGACGAGGGGAGAAAGAACCAAGTCACTGGTTCTATCAGAATCTGGGCGAGGCAGAGTACGTGGTGAGCGTCTACCAGTACATGCGACTTCTGGGATACCCTGCCAACAAAATCTCCATCCTGACGACTTACAACGGGCAGAAGCACTTGATTCGGGACGTGATCGAGAGCAGATGCGCCAAGCATCCACTCTTTGGCCGTCCGAGCAAGGTACCAAGCAGATCTAAGTTTGAGCGTGAGCTTGAATCTAAAAGCTGTTTTTGCGCAGGTAACAACGGCTGACAGGTTTCAAGGCCAGCAGAACGACTACGTACTACTGTCTCTCGTTCGCACTCGCGTCGTCGGGCATTTGCGTGACGTGAGAAGGCTGGTTGTGGCCATGTCGCGAGCAAGGCTGGGGCTCTACGTCTTTTGCCGGCGTTCGCTCTTCGAGCAGTGTTATGAGCTGCGGCCAACGTTCCAAAAGCTGCTCCAGCGCCCGGACAAGCTGGCTCTGGTGCTAGACGAGAGCGTGCATCCAACATCCCGGCGTGTGGAGGAGACTGGCAACGCATACCTCGTGCAAAATGGGGTACAGGAAATGGCTGAGATTGTCAACAACAAGTTCATGCAGGTGAGCGAACTTGTCAGTGAAAAGATTTTGTCCATTTAATGTCGGAACTGTTTTACAGATGTATGGAGCTGGTACAGTTTTGAAGCAATTGGAAGCCCCAACAAATAATCCAGCGCAAGGAGAGATTGAAGAGGATGGAAATCCTATAAGCCAAATGGTGGTGGATGAAAATCCAAGGGAGACCGTGGTGGATCAAAGTGGAGTGGATGAAAATCCAAGGGATCCCATGGAAATGTAGTATGTGCACAAAACCTTTTCCTAGTGACAAAAAAAAAGTTAAGCTTTTAAATGGATTAAATATAATATTCTTAATCTGGTTTGTGATTAGACTTGTTATAGAAAATTTAATATAGTGATGAATTTTATTACTAAATAACTCTTTTTAAAAACATGTTGAGTTTATTATATTAGTGTAATATACAATTACAATACTATTATAGTGTAATGATGTTTTAATAGCATCATATTATATTCAAGGACCACTCACTCTATATATAAGTTAGGCTTTTAGGAATATACACATGCACTCTCATAATGGGATGTACTTCAGAAGTGATTGAATTTGTGTTGTAAAGTTTGTAAATATATGTATGTATATATATGCATTACTTTGGCTCAGTAATATATTAATTATAGTACTATAGCATACAGATCATCCCTTGAGACTAAATTTAATTTATCCATTCTTATATATAATAAAGGGTTTAAACCTTTATTCTTATATCCCAAGCAATCATGTTGATGGCATTGCAATTTGTCCTTAAAATGCAAATTTTTTTAGCAGTGCGTTGCTTTAGTATTCAGGATTGTGCTTTTTTTTTATATTTCTTCATTCTCTTTTAAATCTAAATTTATATTAGCTTTTTGCAAGATCTAGAACTTTAGCTATCGCTATATTTAGATTTTTTCTTTCTTCTCATCTTCATTGCATTCTTTTCTTTTACCATATTATATTGTTATCAATCAAGAAATATTTCACTTGAGGCTGCTAATGCTACTTTATTGAATTAAACTTTTGATATTGTGAGGTGTGATCATATTGGTGTTGCACCCATCCTTGGTATGTTGCTATCTTCAACTTATGTGAGACATAATTACATGGCTTGTCTTGTTCTTGGTGCTCTACCATCTCCCATTAGTGTGGAGCTTAGTCGTGACATCAATTGGTGAGCTATGGATAATGCATTCTGATTCTTGGCAAATGTTCAAGGATCAAATTTATAGGAAGACGATGTTTACAAGCTTGAATTAATTCCAGATTGTGATAAGAAACTTGATTATTATGGAGATAACTTTGGAAATAAATTGAAGTTTTAATCTACCATCTAATCCTTTCTCTTTACCTTTAATTTGCCATTTAATCCTTTCTTTTTAACTTTTATTCTTTCCCAACCTTTTTCTTATTTCTCAGTTTGAGCCATTTTCTCATGTTCTTAATGTTCCTTCCTTGTCTACAATATTTCCTTTTTCTGGCATATCAATCATTTCTAACTCTTATGATTCTCATTCTCAATTCAGTATTGAATTGATTGTTTTTCATCCTTCTTATACTAATCTGGATCTTGAGTGTGTGCAAAAATTTGAGAATCTTGTTTTTACTTTTTTGGCAAAGTTTTTGATCAATTTTAGTATTAAGTATTCCTCTATTCCTAGAGTTGAATTATTTTGGCCAAAGTTTTAACTTGAGTGCATATCCTTGGTTGTGAGTGCTTGCTTTATTATTGCTACTAAGGGGTTTATGTGTTCCTTTGAGAGTGTGGACTTTTCTATTGATTTTCTTATCTCAAATGTTGAATTGTGTGTTGAAGAGGTTGAGCAATATGAATTTCTTGTTTATTGCGTATTAACTAAAATATTTTATCACAATAGATCTTTTGTTCTCCACGATTCTCCAAGATCATATTTCCTTCTTTTCTCCCTATTTTTATTTTGATAATTGCTGAAAATTTATTTTTCAATACTTCTTTGTTTATGTTTTCTTCTTCCACAATATTTCTTCTTCCCTTTTTATCACTTTCTCTTTTCAGCTTTGACACTTTAAACTTTTTTTTCTTCAAAAAAGGCAATAAAGGGGATGAATGGGAGTTCAGCCCTGACAATGGAGTGAGGATGAGTGGATATGATAGTAGAAGGAGAATGAATGACATGGATTATAAAGTGAGAAGTATAGTGAGTTTGAAAGGAACATCTAACTCTAACTTAGTGAAGTTAAACGAATGCAATAGTGGAGTGAATCTAAACATAAATGGTGGAGTGAAGATTAATGCAATAAGTCTAAATAAAACCAGTGTTTCATAAATTTTTTTTTCTTTGAGGAGGGGATAAAAAGGATGTGGAGAACAAATAGAGTGAGTTTAATCTCCCATATGCGGTGCTAGATAAAGACAAAGATCATAAGTTAGAGTTAATTAGATATTGATTAAAGGGAAAATGTAAAGGCAGGTTCTATTTATGGTCATAAGTTTGAATTAATAATGGTCTCAAAGGATTATTGGCAAACAAATTTAAACTTAGAATATATTGTTTGTTGCAATGGCATTTCATGGACTACAATAGTTCTCAAAGTCCCTTATTTTGGTTCAAAGTTATAACTTCAAAATTGATTTGAGCATTTAGCAACTACATATGGAGTGTGACACACAAATCCCTAGACCCCAAAGTAGAGTTGAAAGTGTGCTATATGGCAATGGTTGAAGTGGAAGTCTAACAAGCGTAACATGTTTAAACCAAAAGCTCTAACTTGAAAAGTCGAAAGTGGGAGTAAAACTCCAAATGAAGTGCTCGAGGAAAGAGCACAAAGCAATCAATGAATGAGTCTCTAGAAAGGGACATAAAAAAAGTTAACACATGGCAAATGTCGTGACACATAAAAGTGTCAAGAATGAGTCCAAGATGGAATCTGAGCCTGAGATGGAGTCTAAGATGGAGTCTAAGGTGGAGTTTGAGGTGGAGTCCGAGAAGAACTCTGAGGTGGAGTCCAAAAAGGAGTTTGAGAAGGAGTTTAAAATGGATTTTAAGATGGAGTTCAAGAAAGAGTTCGAGATGAAGTCCAAAAAGGAGTCTAAGAGGGAGCCCAAGGTCAAGTCTAAATGGAGACTAAGATCGGGTGCGAGATCAAGGCCAAGACCAAAATTGAGACTGAATCTGAGTCTAAGCGTAAGTCTAAATCCGAGTCTAAATCCGAGTCTAAATAGTAATATAGTTTAAGAGGTAAAAACCCAAAGCACTGGTTCCCTCTAGGGGTGACTTAGGAAGGTTATACTTACGTGGTGGGTGATAATATAACCACTGAGGAGTCTAAAGTTAAAGTGAATACAGATAGACAAGTAAGGTAGTTTAGTGAAGTATTCAATAGTCAACTCTAGCTCCCTTAAGAGATCAAATGGTCAATACTCCTAATCCAAGTATAGGTGGCACTACCTACTTAGATATTTGGTATAGCTTATTGGAACCTTGCTCTAGCCACATGGCTAGAGCAACCAGAGGTAGAAAGTGGGGGGAGTATCCATGAGACTTATGTTGGGCCATAGTGTTTTGAAATGTCATTCAAAACTTTTGGATTGTGAAAAGGAAAAATAGTCCTCTTATGTAGTGAACAAAGATACAATCATGTGGTGAGGAAGTCCTAGTGGTCAATAAGACTTAGTGGTCAGGCCTTTGCCCTAACCGTGTAGTGGCGTTCACAAGTATAGTCTTGAATAGAGAAAGACTTAGTGAAGATAGAAGTAACAATATTGGGGAAGGGTATTCTTCATGTCTCTAAACATCTTAAGGATGCTAATATGTGGTCATGGGATGACCACTTATAGACAGATGGCCCAGTTTTTAAGAGGCGAGACTATGGTACAGGTTGTCTTGGACTACCAATGAGACAAAGGTGAATGCACATGGCCTTTGTGTAATAGGCTAATATGTTAGTGATACTTTTGAATGTTTACAATTGTCGCGAATGTGACTTCGGGTATCGAAAGTTACCTGTCGGCTAGTCCTTACGGACACTCTTACCTTACTGCCACGATGGCAGGAGGTCGGTATTGCTGGACCCGTTATCAGTTTCCCACTTGAGCTAGTTGAGAAACTGGTCAATGACCGTGTACTTAGATCGGATAAACATAAGGTAGGAACCCTATGTGTTTCTTGCTGAGCATACTCGGCCTGGTTTGAGAAACTCCTGTCATTGGCTTGCACTTGCTAGTATCAAGAACCCCCGCAATATTGAGATTGGTCCCTCAATATTGCTAGATGATAGCTTACCGTGTCTGCCAAACACCCTCGCTATCATACCCTTTGTGTTAGTCTCATTTTGGTCCCAAATGCTATTTATGGAAAGTGTCCAAATTTGCTCATTTGGCATATCTACGGAATGTAGGGATCGTCCTGAACACAATGGTGTTCGTCCCGTGTCCAAATTCGCAATCTAAGGACATTCCATATTTAGTAAGTTTCAAGCTTGTCCCAGAGACTAACTCCTGATACTAAGGGAGGCTTGGGGTGAAAGCCCAAAGCGTGTGTTCCTCAAGGGGGGGGGGCTGTGGGGGGTTCCAAATGTATAGTAGGGATAGTGGGTAGGTCGGGCATGGCCGACCAACCTGAGGCATAGTCTAGCTCCCGCTTGCGTGCCTGTCCTTGTTCTGCGTCCGGCTTGGGTCTAAGCCCAAGTTCCATTCCATGCTAGTTGGTGGAGTACCCATATCCTCACGTTAGGCCACCGGTATGCCGAAATAGCGCCAAACTCCGTTTGGCTCCGTTTTACGTGCTAGTCCTGGCATTGGGATGCTGGTTGCTCCAGGACTGTTCCAAGTCGCTCCGGGCCCCTGTCCCTTCGCTCCTTGGGGCTTTATGCTCGGGAGTTGCTCCGTGGTATGGTTCCGTCACTCCTTAGCTCCATGCTTGGGAGTTTGGCACCGTTCTTTCGTTCAGTGGCCCAAGGCCCTGAACCTCGGGTTCCTATGGACACGTGGCATGGACACGTGGCATCTGTCACGTGGCACAAAGAGGGTTTAGGTTCCGCTTCGTGGTGTTATCCTATGGTAAATCACCATAGGATAAAGGGTCAAAACCACGTGCGCTACATTTGGTATCAGAGGATGAGTCTCAGCGAGTACTATTCAATGAGATTGGGCAACTAGTTTCGTTGCATACGCAGAGATGAAAACGATGATCCGAGTGGGTACACGTTTGGTGCAATGGGTTCGCATTCGTTCCTTGGGTATGGTTTTGGTTACCTTTTGTACCTAATAGGGTGAGCTTGCTCTTGGGCTCATAGGATGGATTTGAGATGCTCCATTAACACGAGTTTACGCTTGGGCTCGTGAGTGAGGCAC